GGGTAGCAACCTGCATTTTGGGTAACTCTTGGAGGGGCGCTCGAGTTTATATTCCTCGGCCACGAGGACTTCAGTCCATCTATCAGCTAGCAGATCTTGATCAGCTTGAAGCTGCTGCTGCTTTTTCTTAAGGCTATTTGCCGTGGTTATAAGTCGGCGTTTGAAGCGCTCTTGTTCGACGGGATCCTCTGGCACGGTGAATTCGTCGTCGTCGAGGCTTGCCTCGTCTTCGGAGGGGGGGTATGTAATTATCATCTTCCGCCTTTCCATCTGCCGCTCTCTCAGGAGGGCAGGCTCCTCCATCCTCCTGCTCTAAATCTTGCTGGAGGGGATTGTTGTTGTCTTCGGCACTATCCGGAGTGTTATTATCTCCTGTGTCGGTATCACCACTTTTGCTTTGGCGGGACTTAGAGCGGCGCCGCTGACGTTGGCGCTTGGGTTGCTTCTTGGAGGGGTCATCCTCCGCTATCTCGTCGCCATTGTCTTCTTTGGGTGTATCCACCATGTATATATCGTATGATGAGGTGGTTGTCCAGTGCCCTATGGGCAGTGGTTCCTCTTTGTCTCCCGCATCATCGTCCATACCGTCGATGTCTTCAGAGTCGAAGTCGAGCATGTCGGTTAAGTCATTGACAGTGACTACTAAGTGGGTGGTGGGTGGGCCGCGAATTTCTTCGTCGTCCGCATCCCAGTCCTGCCGGACATAGTTCGGCCAGGATCCTCTTGACAAGGAGAGAGACCTTAATGAGTTCAATATGTCGCCGAAGGGTGAGTGGTGAAAAATATCTGTGGAGGTAAACTCCATGATCGGCGCCCAATCGGATTCGATAGGAACATGCGCAGGCGGCTCGGAGTCCGTGGCCGGAGAAGGATCCGGTAGTTTAACAACACGGCTCTCATGCAAGGTAAGGTCGATGTTTGGCTCGATCGCCGCTGAGGGTAAGGCCTCCGTGGCGTGGTCCATCCACCCATCCATGGATGGTGCAACTGGCTCCGAATTGAGGGTCGGAGCGGCTGCGTGTGCGATATCCTGGACACTGTCCGATGGTAGAGCTAAATCGTACTCATCGTGACCGTGTAACGCACAGGGCAGAGGCTCGAATCCGTCGAAGATCAAGTCTCCGCGGATATCGGCCGTGTAGTTTAAGCTTCCAAACCTGGCCTGGTGGCCATGGGCGTAACTTTCAACCTGCTCCAGATGGCCAAGCGAATTGGCCCGCAGTGCAAAGCCACCTAACACGAAGATCTGCCCGGGAGAAAAGTCTCACCCTGAACTGCATCGCTATTGATGATAGTAGGAGCCATCAAGCCTAACGACGACGACACAGAGGAACTCTCAATGAAAGCACCAATGTCGGTGTCAAAACCGGCGGATCTCGGGTACGGGGTCGCGAACTGTGCGTCTAAGGCGGATGGTAACAGGAGGCAGGGGACACGATGTTTTACCCAGGTTCGGGCCCTCTTGATGGAGGTAAACCCTACGTCCTGCTTGATTAATATTGATGATGTGGGTAGTATAAGAGTAGATCTACCACGAGATCAGAGAGGCTAAACCCTAGAAGCTAGCCTATGGTACGATTGTATGTTGTAGTTGTTGTGTCCTACGGACTAAAACCCTCCGGTTTATATAGACACCGAAGAGGGTTAGGGTTACACAAGGGCGGTTACAAAGGAGGGGATATCCATATCCATACTTCCTAGCTTGCCTTCCACGCCAAGTAGAGTCCCATCCGGACACGAGACGAAGTCTTCAATTTTGTATCTTCATAGTCCAACAGTCCGGCCAAAGGAAATAGTCTGGCTGTCCGGAGACCCCCTAATCCAGAACTCCCTCAGACGCCCAACCCCGCACATGGGTCGGCTCAAAAGCGTGTAGGGGTGTGCATTTGTTGTATGGATGGTATAGGAGGTCTCTCGGGCATGCCCATGTCTCGCTTGACACGAGACGTAGGGCGGCCTCGCCTGAAGGCGACCGTGGGATGGGTTGGCCCAGGCGCGCACGACGCCATAGACCATAGGCCACAACCTCCTTTTTTGTTTTTTTTTCTCATTTTTTACTTTTGTTTATACTTCCAAATATTATAAATATATATATTACAAGAAACACTTTACTAAAACATTTGGAAAAAAATCAAACATTTGGCAAATATTAAATGTGTACAGGGAAAATGTTTCTCATCTATTTGAAAAATGTATAAAAAATAGATAATGTGTATGAAAATTTTGATCATGTATTATAAAAATATTAATCAAGCATCTGAACGAAATATTAATCAAGTATTTGAAAATATTAATAAAGCATTTCAAAAAATGTTAAATGTGTATATAAAAAACATTTATCATGTATACAAAACAATATAAATGTGTGTGACAAAAGTTAATCATGTATGTAAAAAATGTCAATAAAGCATTTGAAGAATGTTAATCAAGTATTTGAAAATTTCCAAACACACATTTCAAAAAAGTTAAATGTGTATAGAAAATATGTTTTCCATGTATACGAAAAAGTATACAGAAAATACATAATGTGTATGAAAAGAATGTTGATCATGTATTTTAAACATGTCAAACATGTATATAAAATGATATATGTATTTAAAATATTAAAAGTGAATTAAAATATAATGTGTTGAACATTTTGTTAATGGCAGTAAAGAAAATTCACACACAATTCACATTTTGCATACACATTAGAAACATTTATATATACATGTTTACATTTTTAATTACAAAATTAAATTTCTAAAAAATATATGTTTATTGGAGTCTACTTTTATTTACTGTACATTGGATATATTTTATACCTCAAAAACATTTTTATACACATTTCATATTTTAAAAATACATGATTAACATTTTTTCATGTAAACAAAAAGAAAACAAAGAAATCCATCAAAAATAAGAAACAAACAAAGGAAATCAAAAGATAAAAGAAAAACAAAGAAAACCACTGCAAAAAGAATGGAAGACATCAAAAACTGAGAAAGAAATAAAGAAAATAAAAAAGCCATTGAAAATAATAAAGATACAAAAAGAAATCTGAAGGAAAAAAGGAACAAAAAAAGGAAAAAAGACCAAAGACAAATGCTGAAGAAACAAAGAAAATTGAAGTATAACAAAGGAAGAAGAAAAACCAATTGATGAAATAAAGAAAACTGAAGTACAACGAAGGAAAAAAACAAAGAGAACCAATAAAAAACAAAAGGACGAAAAAAAAAACAGAAACAACCAAAAAGGGAAGAGGAAAGAAAAACTACAGCAAACGAGCGAAGAGCCAGGGCTGGCCTGTAACGGTGGCATGCAGGAAGAGTTTCAGGCGAGAGAAAATTCTATATCGCATGAAGCGAGATATAAGCTCCCGCGAGGTCTCTGGTACTGCTACGTGTCGCTGGTTATAAGCGATACACGAAACATACTTACAACTCATACTCATACTCCGTACCAAGTTTCTCTGTTTTTGAAGACTGTATAATCAAAGTCGCTCATATACATAAGTGTACACTTATTTTTATAAATACATATAATTTACCTCATAAGCATCTTCGAGAGATTAAACAAACACATCATCTTAAGATTGATCAAGTCGGCCACAGACGCCTTCGTCGTCGACCAAAACGTCTTCTCCGATGGACAGGGGATACCACTATTCTCCTAACCACCCAACCACGGATTGATTCGCACAATTTGTATCTAGTCGACCAACCTAGTAGGATATAGCTCGACAATAATTTTTCCACCTGATTTCTGCTAAGGTTTTCTGGATAGATTTTTTCATTTGGTATATATAAATATTTTTTTTCAGTCCCTTAAGAAAAGGTAATATGAACATTTTGTCATGAAATTTTCCAAAGAAAAAACATTGGTACATTTTAAAAAAATTGTTCATCGTGTACTTAAAATGTTTGCTATGCATGTAGATTATCAACGTTATTTAAAGAATGCTGGTCTATTAAAAATGTTCAATGTGTATTTACAAAAAAATTGCCATATATTAAACATATTTGTTTTCAATGTGTATTTGAATAATTCAACGTATATTTAAAAAAATTCTGAATATATTTACAAGATATTCAATGTGTATTAAAAATATTCATGTATAAAAAGGATGTTCTTGTATTTTATTTTTATTACATTTCTTACAGAAAAGCAAGAGGAAAAAGAAATTGGAAAAGAAAAAAGAACTAGAAAATGAATAATGAAATAAAAATGAAAACTATACGAAATAAGTACAATAATAGATGAAAGTAATTATTCTAAACATAAAACATACTCTATTCGTTCCAAAGTAAGCGTCTCAACTTTGTACTTATTTTGGGAGAGAGGGAGTAATAGGGAAGAAATGATAAAAAAAAGGCCCAATATTTTTAACACAATACAATCACAATTGCTCACATACATGCACACACACACTATATGAACTCACACACGCATATCCTATCCCTGTGAGTACATCCGACATACTGAGCTGACAGAACATCTTAAGATTGACGAATTTATCATAGTCGTCTCGTAGTCGACGAGAACGTATCATCTTGCTGAACGAACATCACCGAAAAGTTTGAAAAAAAATCTAGTAAATGGATTGGTTCTATCACAAAGAACCGTTATTCTCGTTTCACCAAAAAAGTAATTTAAAAAAACCTGATTTTTTGCGATGTATGGTTGCGGCACGTTCTAATTTGGACGTAGCCGGCGCCCGTCTCCGCATCCTTTGGCTCGTCCCCCGATTGGGTAGAGCGTGCGCGTGACACGGCGCGGCGGTGACACGAAATTCCTCCGTTTTCCGGAAGCGGAACAGACCGCCGCGCGTAAGAAACAAACCACCCCACCGACCGTTGCCTCTCCGGGAGGTGGCGCTGCGGCGCACGGCGAGAAAAGCGACCAAATCCCCCTCAGTCTCAGAAAAAGCATCCGAGAAAAGCAGAAGCCAGGCGATCGAGTGAGGACCGAGGAGCCAAAATCCAAAAGCCTCCGCATCGCACGGGAGCCGAGGCCGATCGATGGCACGACGGAAGCCGCCGGCGCAGCATGGAGCCCGGAGCGAGGACGGCCAAGCCCAGTCGACGGCGCCGCCGCTGAAGCGGGGGCCGTGGACGGCGGAGGAGGACGAGGTGCTGGCGCGGTTCGTGGCGCGGGAGGGGGAGGGGCGGTGGCGCACGCTGCCGCGGCGGGCGGGCCTGCTGCGCTGCGGCAAGAGCTGCCGCCTGCGGTGGATGAACTACCTCCGGCCGGACATCAAGCGCGGCCCCATCGCCGAGGACGAGGAGGACCTCATCCTCCGCCTCCACCGCGTCCTCGGCAACCGGTGCGTGCACGTGACCTACTTCCTGAAATGCGTCTACGCAGATGATAGACTTATGGATGTCGCGGTGCACGCAGGTGGTCGCTGATCGCCGGGAGGCTGCCGGGGCGCACGGACAACGAGATCAAGAACTACTGGAACTCGCACCTCAGCAAGAAGCTCGTCGCCCAGGGCCTCGACCCGCGGACGCACATGCCGCTCGCCGCTGCTCCCGGCAAGACGGCAGCTCCTACCGACAAGAAGACGGCGGCGCCGACGGTCAGACCGCCGCAACCTCTGCCCCCGCCAGCGCTTGTGCTGCCGACCTCGTCTGCCGCTGGAACTGGACGCGACGGCCGTGACAACCCAGGCGACGGAGGCAATGACGACCTCGCCGCGGCGATGAGCGTCGACGCCCATGACTTCGAAGGTTTCGGTGATCAGCTTCTCGCCGACTACGCTGCTTCCCGCGGAGTCTTCAACGACGTGATGGGGTGTCCAATGGTGGACGACGACACCTTCACCTCGTTCCTCGATTCCTTGATGAATGAGCGCCAGTTGGCTGCTGATCACAAGGTTGGCGCTATCTAGCTGATGCAGATTTACAATGCACTGTAGTAATCGCGAATCAGCTGACTAGCGAAATAAGTTGATTGATGATGGGCAGATAGTACAAACTGCGTACACATGAATTGCTTAATGTGATGAAGGGGTCTGGTGACGTTTGTTTGTGACTTTGTGTGATGAATATCAGTACTACGAGGATGTAATGTAATGTATGGATTGCACAGACATAAGATTTGTAGAAGGTGCGAATTAATCAATGTGTTCACCTGCTACTCATGTGGCCTGCTGGCGAGTGCCGACCGAGTGGCCAAAATAGAGCAGGTGCAGCTCATAAGCCTGCAGGTCCATCCGTCTACATATGGTCGAGAGAGACTCGAGACGCGTACTACTGCTCATCTTTGTGACAACGCGTGCCTCCGTTGCATTTTTGCCATACCCGTGGGGTGGCCTGTCCGAATTGATTCTGATGTCGACTGAATTCAGGAAAGGAATACCCCGGATCTTTCTTCTCAGGGTTCACCAGAGATTCAGATTGACCGTGCAACTCAATGCGGGTACGCAGGATAGATATATCAGCGTGTACATACATGTGCAAGCAAAAAAAAAACCCAAATAATAAGTGTCATACGTATGGCACGAAGTAACAAAGGATTCACACATACACAAAGGAAACACAGACTGTTCATGCCGGGCGCATGCATAGACCGTATGTGAAATGTGAGTATCACAACAGGACAATGTGAACATGAACAAAGAATCCAGGAAATACAAACCGGAACGCACATCGTAATAAATAAATTACCAACAGAGAAGAAGATTTTACCTTTTAATTGAGCAGCGTGCAGGCCATCCATCCATCCATGCTCCTGGGAAAAGGCTTCAAGTTGCGTGGCTGTTACTTCCCCAGCAAACTGGTTTAGCAAGAGGAGCGTAGAGGCATCGGCACTGTACGTGAGGAGCTCCGGCGCTATATAGCAAGAGGGGCGTCTGCGAATTTACACACCGTTGCGACCGGCCGTCGTCCAAATGGACTGTCAGGTTGGAACCAACAAACAAAATTCGGGCGGGCTACTTTATTCTTCTTCTTTTTGCGGGGAGGCTACTTTATTCTCTCCTGTGTTACAATTAAACGAAACTATTCGATTTGACGCGTGAAATTATAGTAGTACATGGGATTGACCGGTAGCTGCAAAGTTTGTGATTTTCCAAACGGATAGACGTATTATCTGAACTACGATTGACCTTGACAGTTGACACAGCTGAAGTCTGAAGCACCCGAAAGTACGCCTTCGCAGGGCGTTGACGTAGACATAAGGCTTCCCGTCTTCAGGGAGCTGGTTACGTAGAGTTTTCGTTCCGCTTTCAGCGCCTAGACCGGTCCCTTTGTCCGGTGGAGTGCCGCGCGCGGCGAGGGGCTGTGGGAGGAGATGGCCTTCGCCTCGTCGCTAGTGGCGCCGCTGCCCCCGCCGCCTCCTGCCGCGAGGGCGGGGTGGAGGCGCGCGAGGGCGGCCCCTCGGCGGCTCGTCCTGGCGGCATCCAGCCGAGGCGGCGGCTCGGCCCCGGCCCCGGACCCGCCGACGTTCGACCGGCTGCGGGAGCAGCTCCTCCAACTCCACGCCGAAGCCGACCTCACCCAATCCAAAGGTATACTAACTCCTCAACTCCATCGCCATGGCTGCGTTCTTCTTCAGGAAACTGGGATGCTGAGTCCGTAGCAGGAGCTTGTGTATTTCATTCTACATATTTGTGCTACTCTAAATTACGGACAATGATTGCGATTCCAAAGATTGCAGTATGTCTCGCTAATCTCTATTACTACATACTATGTTCGGGTCTAGGGATCGTAAAAGCGAGTTTGAGTCCGGCGCTCTGTGGATAGGGGCACACCATAGTTGTTGCACTGCACTAGTGCACATTTTATTTCTAGAATACTCACTGCACCAAGTGCACAACATCCTTTTTACTGACTGTGTTTTTTCTTCTTGTAGCAAATAGTGCTCGGGTGAGGCTTGTGCGGTTGACCGAGGCCGCTGAGAATCTTAAGAAGAGAGCCGTGGTCAGTGTTCGGATGGGCAGAGAGAATGAGGCAGTGGAATTACTTGTGCAGAAGAAGAAGTTGACCAATGCTTTGGAGAACATAAAGGAGCGCATTGAGCTGCTTGACAAGCTTTCCGCAAAGATTAGTGAGGTGATGACATG